TAGGATAGAGCACAGTTCAAAGCTATAGTACATAGGGTCACTATGAGTCACTAGTGACTCAGGGCACATAACAACAACATTAAGTGTTAAGAAACTTTATAGTAACTTCTAGAAGCCTCAAAATAGAAAAGTAAGTAAATGGCGCATATCCAATCAGACTTGGAAAAGTAAAGATAAAACAAGAAAGAAAATACAATTGATGAAAGGTAATTTATATGACAAGAATGCAATTGATGAAAAGTAATTTATATGACAAGAATGCAATTGATGAAAAGTAATTTATATGACAAGAATGCATCAAAATATATTAGTTATAACAATGAATGAGAACACAGAACTCTACCTATTAAAAGAGACTGTGAAACTTGGAAAAAGAAACACCCGTTATTGTTACCACTAGAAATATGCTATAAACCAAATGACACAGAGAAATAGAAATTAATGAGAAAGAATTGCCAATTTTTTTTAAAGTTGGTAGAGAAAACATTAGGGTTATACAAAAAGGAAAAAAGTAAACTGAATATTACTTCTTCTTGTTATGTACCATCAAGTTGCTTGCCACTCATAGTGACCCTATGTGGACTATCCCTGAAACCTGTTCTATCCTGTGCCAACTTTATTGTTTCTGACACATCTATTCTCATTACCTCAGTCATTGAATCAATTCATCTCATTCCTCTCTTTCTCTGTCCCTCCACTCTTACAAGCATGATATCCCTCTGCAAGGACTGGTCCCTAAGAAAAGTAATATATTTCATATCCATTAAAAACTTGTACTGAAATACAGACTTCTCGTTATCCTCACTGGTTGGAACAACATTACATGTTTACAGCTGGGTCAACACCAGCTAATGAGGATGGAACGCTAACGGACAGTCAGACGATTTGGAATTGAAACTCTGCAGCTAGGAGTGGGACACAAGCCTCCCCTAAAACATAAGCCATGTGAAGTGAAAGCACATCTACAGAAAAATTAAGGTTTTAGAGAAGACAGGGTGGTAAGTTAAGTGTGAGGGTTACTTTTATGTGTCAGCTTGGCTAGACTATGGTTTCCAGTTGTTTGGACAAACGCTAACCTAGTTTCTATTCCACAATGTATTCTAATGCAATTACATAATGTAATCTATTTCATGTTGTAATCTAATTAATCCGTTGAAAAGGGAATTTCCCCAGAGTGTGCTCTTCTGCCAGACTACAGTTATTTTAGTAGAACTTTATGTTGTACTCTTCACATATAAAACTGATTCTGTTGTTGGAGAGAATTCTGACAATGTTCATAATCAACAACATTCTCTGTAATACCCTGAAGTTATTAGCAAAATTCACAATTTATTTCCTTTGTAACATTAATCACCACAAGATTAAAAGTATAATATTCTTCTGTATTGTCTCCTTTGCAATGTCTATCTCCACTACTAAATAAATTTAGAATAGGGGACCACATCTATGCTGATCTTAATCACATCTCCAGAATCTTGTACAATGTACGTCTCATAATAGGCTCAATCAATGTATGTTTGTTGATTGAATAAAGAAATGAGTTTACAAAGAAATAAATGCCAGTAGATAATAGTCAGCAGAATAATACAGTGTGTTGTTATGTGCCATTAAGTTGCTTGCAGCTCATTGAAACCCTATGTGCTCTGAACTCTGCTCTATCGTGTGCCATTCTCATTGTCTCTGACATACCCACCCCCATTAGCCTACTTACTAAGTCAACCCATCTTATCTAGAGTCTTCCTTCCTTACACTATCCCTCCACCCTTCCAAGCATGATGTCTCTCTCCAAAGACTAGTCCTTCTTTGCAACATACACAAAGTATGTCAGACCAAGCTACAGAATCCAAGGAACAGCCTGATTTCACCCTCTCCAGGACAAATCTGTTTGTTCTCCTAGCAGTCTACGGTATATTCAATAATATTCTCCAGCACCACAATTCAAAGGCATTAATTCTCCTATCATCATTAGTAATTGTCCAGCTTTCTGATGCATAGCAAGTAATTGCAAAGATCATGGCCTGGATCACATGCACCTTAGTCTCCAGACTGACAACATTGCTCTTCAGTACTCTGTTGAAGTCCCTGACATCAGATTTTGCCAGTACAATTTGTCTTTTGATTTCCTGGCTGCTGGTACCAAGAGTGTTGATTGTAGAGCCAAGCAAATGAAGCTATTAACAATATCAATCTCTTCATTGACTAATGTTTAACAGTGCAGGGAGATATGGATTGCAAACCATAATTAAATCAAATGTACAGAAGGAATATTATATTTAGATATGTTTCAGTAAGGTCATTTATGAAAGTAAACAAGTGATAACAATTAAAGTGCATAATAAAGAAATCACCCATGTCCTCATTACCCTCCAGTTAACCAACTCAAAGCTGACCTTCCATTGGATTTCAGAGCCTGTAAATTACACAGGAAGAGATTGCCCATCTTTCTGCCTCAGAGCCCATGTTGAATTCCAGAGGGGCGGCCTTTAGATAAGCAGGACAGCTCTCTCTAGACCAGGCTACCAGAGCCCCCTGTGGTAATATTGTACTCTCTCTCTCTCTCTCAGCCTTTATTTCTTTTTTTTTTTTTTTCAATTTAGTAGAAGCAGAAAGAGTGGTATGCCTAAGGATAGGAAAATTAAAGGAACAGTTTCTTCTAATATGGCAAGAGGGGATACATTTGTTGACAGACAAAGTGTCCAATTGAGAATATACTGAAGGTACAAGAACAAAATACATTAGAAAGAAATTTCCAGAGGAAACAAGAAGGAATAAAACTCAATATGAAATAGTGAGATTAACCTTTCTAACAGAGAGCATGCTTTCTTCAGAGACTAAACAATTAGAAGAATGTGAAAGTCAGAGACACAAAGACTAAAATAAACATGCTATCACTAAAGCATAACCTAGATTATCTACCTACAAATTACTAAACTACTCAGGTAACACCAAGCACAAAGTATATAGATGTACTGAATGAGTGAAATTTTTAAAGGCTATGAATAGATGCAATACAAATAGCAAAAGGGTGTCATTTTATCTTTGTACCATAAAGACGGGTCTACCCATTTTCTGAGGGAACTCTGGTGTTAAGAAGCTGTGCTGCAGTCTCAAAAGCATCCACTAGGTGGTCTGAGGGAGAAGGCTGGGAGATCTCCTCTCATGTGTTTTACTCTCTGAAAACCTGCAGGAGGATCAGCTATGGGTCAGTTCCAGTTCAAAGACAAGCACAACACTAACTCATTTTCTGAAAGTAAATCAATTAGTAAGCAATGGCAGACCCTACTTAGCCAGGAATACTTTCAGGGGACATTTTTTAACAAGAACCAGAGCAAAAAATGTGAGAAGGGGGGTGGGGGGGGGAAGGTAGACTGTTGAAGTAGTGTGTGTGATTCAGTTGGTTCCAGCTTACACACTGACCGCACAAGACTCAGCGGAAATGGCTCATCAGGTTCTAGGCTGTGATCGTTACAGAAATAGATTATCAGCTCTTTTCTTCTGCAGAGATGTTGGGGATTCCAACAGGTGACCTTGCCATAGGCAGCCAAGTGATTAGCCATTTTGTCACAAGGACTCCAGTTATACAGGCTTATTCTCAATGCTATTCAGTCAAAACAGACTCATAGCTGACCCTACATTGGGTCTCTTTGGCAGTAAATTGCATGAGAGGCTATCTTCTATCTTTCTTGAATGAATGTGAATTTAAATCTTCAGGTAGGCATGACCTTTGGGTTAGCAGGGCAACTCCCTATGAACTATATCACTGGAGTTCCCTTAAGATATAGACTGTTGTTGTTGGGTACTGTTGTGTCAGAACCAACCCATAGCTGACCCTCCATTGGGTTTTCAGAGGCTGTTAATGACACAGGAGGAGAGTGTCGCTCCTTCCCCACAGAACAGCTGGTGGATTTAAACCATGTGCCTTCCGGATTGCAGCACAGCTTCTTGCCACTAGGCCACCGAAGCTCCCTAAACTAGACTAGGGAGGGATATTTTTATATTTTCTATTATGGAAGACCTTACGGATGGAATTAGCTATACCCCAAAACTATTCATTTCACTGAAAAGTTACAATAAGTGAAGAAAAATTACTTTAGTAAGTTATATAATGAAAAAATATGTTCAATCAATAACCAGAAAATATGTATGTATCGATATTTGTCTAACTCTGGAAGAAAATAAGATTTATTATGAAATAAAAAGCTTAATTTTCACTGTTTAAAATAACTGCTCAACCTGAAAATTAAATCTCGGATCTTATTTTCTAATCTGTTGAGCATTCTTTGTGAAATGTTTTATTTTTCATGTTTTTCACGTTCCAAATATATAGACAAAACTTTATAAAGCAGTTATTTAAGATTTACTGCAAGTTATGCTAAAATAAATCATATCTACAATTGACTTTACACCAGCTCTCAGTACCTAAATCTTTAGGCTTTAATATTCATTAAAAGCTCATTGAAATAAATTAACTTTTTCATGCTATTTAATAATCACTATTAAAAATATGATGCAAGTATTTACCAGATTTATGTTCTACTTATTAATTACTAAAATTTCATTATCACTTGCTCACTGCCACTGTGTCAGTTCCAACCCATAGAAACACACAGTGGAAATGCCCCATAAAGTTTCTGAAGCTGTAAATCCTCGCAGAAATAGACTGTTTCATCTGTATCCCGTAAAGTGGCTGTAGGGTTCCACCTGCCAACCTTTGGTTAATGGCTGGTTAACAAGCCAACACTTTAACCCACTGCACCACTAAGATTCCTGCAAAATTTTACTATGGCATTACTTATTTCATTGATTTCAACAGAATACCTTGATATAAACAAAAAGATACTGCTTTTGAAAAATTACTAAATTGTAAAAAAAGTTTTGGGATTTTTCAGTTGCCTGCAAGGTAGTTTAATAAATACACTTCCATCTCATTGTTTTCCAAACAAAATTATCTAGTTTCACAAACAAATAAATGACAATCACTGGAAAGGTCTTATGAGTACCTTCCTACGTTGTTGATCCTTCATTTTTTGCAATTGTCGATCTTCTTCTTCTTTCCGAGAAGCTTTGTAAGCGTGGCTTCTAGCCTGTAAAGGAAAAGGGGGAATATCACCCTAGGTGAAACCACAATATGCCAATCTAACTTCTAGGGGATTGCTGTCATGAGTCAACCTCTGTACTGAGCACGCAGCGAGCTCTCCTTGCTCAACTGGTTACTGACTGATTTATGGGCACGTCTGAAGAAGTCCCTTGGGATGTGTAAAAAGGAGGTTAGTGTAAACACTATCATCTGGGCCATTTTAAAGGGATGATTTAAATGCTAGTTTAATGAAGATTGTAAAATAACCCCTCAGAGATAATCAGCATAGCTTATCCTTTCTAGTGGGGAGCTCTGGAGGTAGCGGAAAGTTTCGTATACTTTTCAACAATGTCCTGACTTGCTGCTCATTGTCAGAGATTAGCAATAGTGACCTTGACTTTGCAGGCACTGACAGGCCTGCTGTTCTCTAATGGTGCTCCAGGAACAACTATCAACTGGTGATGCCATACCATCCCAATTTCCTTCTAAGTCTCTGCATTCCTAATATGTGAATGACGTTTACTTCTGTTGTCAAGGAAAGCAAAAAGCAGCTCTTTCTAACGGCACCAAAACCAACTGCTGCTAAGTAAACTCACGGTGCTGATCCCAAGTGGCTCAGAGCAGGGCACACTCTCTGTGGGAAGAAGACCTCTAGGCCTTTCTTCTAAAGTACCTGAAGGTGGATTCAAATCTCCAACCTTTTTAAGGCAGCAGCTGAGTGCATTACCTGTTGGCGCCGGGTGCTAGCTCAGGCCCACAGGAACCGTCATTTCTGGATGTATCAGAATTTTAGAGCAGAACCTTAGATGATCCAGCACACATGGGGAAGCCCTCCTGCCCCTCTGACCCACCACGTCATAATGCCACACTGACAGTATACCCTGAAATTTGCAGAGCTTTGAGTGCTTTGTCTAGTCATTTGCTATGCACTTTTCTTACCCTCACCTGGCTCTATAGCTCCAGGCTGTTTAAGGCAGATGCCAGCTTCATAGACTAGAGCTCAGGGAAATACACAGATCTCACAATTTACCTGTGGAAGTGCAGCAGCAGACCTTGTGCCACTGCAGGCCCAGCCCTGTGGACTAATAATCTAGAAACGTGTCTGTCAGTCCTACCTCTCCTCCTTTTACCACTTTTCTCAAGTGTGTCTTAATTCATCCCTGTCCCCTTTCTGTCACTGTAGTAACCATATCAATTGAGTCAATTTCCTGAAAGTGCCAGAAGGCTTTCAGGAGAGTGGAGGTCCAAATATGGCCAGAAAATCCTCATCTCTCCAAGGCTACATCATCAGACAGGTAAGTACATCCCACAGGACATGGCTCTTTCTATAACGGAATGAGACACTGGTTCACATACTTTGGGCATGTTGTCAGGAGAGGCTGGTCCTTATACACCAACATCCTGCTGAGAAAAGTAGAGGGTCAGAAAGACAGGAAGACCCTCAAGAAGACGGATTGACACGGGAATTGTAGCAATGGGCTCAAGCCTATCATGAGGATGGCACAAGATACGGCAAGGCTCAGATCTGTCCTTCATAGAGTCACTATGAGTAGTAGTTGAGTTGATGACATCTTTAGCAACATATTCTAAACATACAAAACTCTGAAAAGACTAGGAAAGAGAAGGGGCTCTCCAATAGCTAGTTGTTATCACAAGTATCCCATGTAAGTGGAAAGAAATATTAAAACAGCTTCTGTTCTAGAGATCAAATTGCAGAATAGAATATTTAGTTAAAGCAGATATTACATCTTAAATGCAGAGTCTAAATGCTACTAGAATACACAGTTCCTCAAGTTACAAACATTGCAATTAGAGATAACTAGTACTTTCTCTTTGATGTTTAGTAAATTTGTCCTCACTTTGAAATATTTGAACTAACCCTTGTCCCCAAGAAAATTTACACCACAACCTTTTAAGACTCAAATCCTTCTGCACATCACAAAAATTCCTCCACTATATGAACTTTCATATACTATTGGTGAGTGGCATTGTAAAATGCCACTATCACGTTGGAAGGCAGTTTGGCATTTCCTCAAAAAGCTAAACATACAAATTCCATATGACCCAGCTATTTGACTGCTTGGAATACACCACGAGAAAATGAGAACTGAGGCACAAATGAAGATAAGTACACCAAGGTTCAAGCAGTGTAATTCACCATGGCAATCACATGGAAACAGCCCAAATGTCCTACCACAATCAAATGGATTGAGAAACTATGTTACACTCACATGATGGAATACTACACAGCATGTAGGAGCAATGATTTTGTAAATTACTGTCTAACTTCGAAGGGAATGGAGAGCGTTATGCTAAGTGAACTCAGTCCCATAAGGACAAATATTATATAAGACCATTATAGTACTAGAAGGCCTAATCCACAACATGAACAGTATTCCAAGCATCCTGAAAAACCTACAACCAGGAAAGGATAAAATAGATAAATAGGACCTTCTAAGAATCAAATCCCTACACACATCAAAAAATGTTTCCAATAGGGTAAAAAAGAAAGCCACAGATGGGGAAAGAATATTTAGTAATGACATATTTGATAAGGGACTTATATTTAGAATTTAAAGAATACTCGAGCACCACAACAAGATAAATAACTCAAATGAAAATGGGCAAAGGATATGAACAGACACTTCACCAAAGAAGACATTCAGATGGTAAAGAAATGTTCAAAATGCCTAGCTCTAAGAGAGATGCAAATCAAGACAATTATGAGCTATCATAACAAAAGTCAACAGAGCAGGAAACAAACGCTGGCAAGGTAGCGGAGAAACTAGAACCCTTATGGTGCAACCACTATGGAAGGCATTATAGAGCTTTCTCAAAAAATTAGAAATAGAAATACCATTTGACTCAGAAATTCCATTACTGTGAATATGTTGTTGTTATTGTTATGTGGAGTCGAGTCGCCTGCGACTCATAGCCACCCTATGTACAACAGCCCTAAACTCCGCTCTGTCCTGTGCCAATCGCACTGTCTCTGACACTCCCATCCCGATTATCCCAGTCACTGAATCAATCCAC